ACTGGTACAGTAGACCATACTACTGGTCCAGTCAGTACTATTGGTGGCTGCAGCTCCCAACTGCTTGACAAACCTGGCAAAAGTTCCTCCAAAAGCTGCCCTTGAGCCCACCCAAGAAAGGTTCTGGTACCATGGGTAACACAAATACACACAATACTCCCCCAAGAAAGGCTCCCCAGCAGGTACCAGGAGATGTTGCCAGACTCTTCTGGGAAATGTCCTGTAGCAAACAAGTGGGTGCTTCTGCTCAGTTCAGAACTAAGAGCCATAGATGTCTACCCCCTCCATGACTCAGCCCCACCACCAAGAGCAAGGCAGCTGCTCTGTTCTGTGCCCAACCTGACAGAATTGGGTCACCCATGAATGATTCTGCATCAGGTTCCCCAGGAACATGTGGTGTGCTGAAGGGTGAGAGGCAGCTTCCGTCTGTCTATGCTACTGAACTGTGCCTAGGCACAGCAGGTTGCTGAGCTCTGCTCTGTGCTACCACACTGCTAAAATCTCTCCCTGCTGCCATCAGCACCTCTCCACAAGATGCTGGCAACTGCTCACGTCTGAACAGCTGGGGTGGATCGGTCTATGCCAACACCCTTAAGAAGGCACATTGCCAATGCTGGGTCCAAGCACTCCCACTCAAGCTAGAGATGGGGAATGCACAAGCAAAGCCCTACCCTGATCACTACTTGGGATATATTCATTAGCTTTCAAACTCTCTTTCAGAAGCCAGAATCTGGGCGCATGCTGATGTGTCTATCTCCCCCAAGCTACGCACTGAACAAAGTAACAGCTCTAGAGTCATTTCCTCCGCTGTTTTCACATGCCAAAAAGAATTTCACACCTTTCAAGCTGCAGGTGAAAATGTTACATTCCCATGTGAACTGTACAAGCCATTTATAAAGATCTGTCTCAGGATAAACTAGAATCTATGGAGTGTTTTTATCCTTCCATATGGCAACTTTCTCCATGAGTCCTCAAACTTTAAGCTATAATCACTCAGGAAAACACTTACAGAAAACTTCAGTGTTAAATTCATTACTTATGGCTGTTCAACAGCCAATTTTCCCTTGTGCAAACCCTTACTATTCAATTTGTCATCCTGGAGGAGATTAGAGATCACACTGATTTCTCCTTTCCATAGCATTATGGCAGGAAGAACTCCTCCCAGCAAACACCAAAAAACATTTCCTGCACACCCCATTGGGTTCTCCAGGCTGCAGCTGGTGCATTCAGGCAACACCATGGCTGCTCTGGACACAGTGGCTGAAAGTTCAGTGAAAATCACCTGCCCCCGGTACTTGCAAGGCTTTTTGGCCAGGTTTTTCAGCCCACATTCTGCAGGGATGTGCTAGACACCCACCAACATCTGTCTTACTGCAGAGACATCAGGTTCTGCCACACTCCTCCTCCTCTGTCCTAACTCACCAGGTGCTTTGCTACTTAACTGCTGCTCATTTTCAGGAAGCACATTAATCCAGAGCTGGCAATCATTCATCACAGACCAAAGTACAGCCAGTAAATGTTGTCTCTATGGCTCACTGTGCAGTTATATTTACTGGCACATGTGGTCAGTGCCGTGAGGAGTGTTTTGGTACCTTCTCAATGATCTTTGCCATGTATTCCGTGCACTGGTCCTCCAGCCGGGTCAGCTGGAACAGCTTTGCGATCCTCCAGATGCTGATGATGTTGTCCTCATCAAGGATCTGAGCCAAGGTCCTGCCACAAAGGCGCTTCAGCCCAGGCAGCAGGTACATGTCTGCCACACACAGCACGTCATAGGCGTTCTCTGGGGACAGCTGGCAATGGAAAGAGAATTACTGTCCAGTCCTAAGCACATTACTTGTCTCTGGAAAACTCCAGTGTTGTTTGGCCTGTTACTGGACAAGTGTTAACTATGGAGAGGCAGGAGCTCAATCTTTCAGGCTTGGTCTCCCACTCAGTTAACACCACAAAGGAGTTCAAAGTACAGCAGGAAGTTTCTCATGCTGCAGGTAACTCCTCTAGCTAAGCACTAGGCAGTGCTGGAACACTGAAGTGTACTGGAGAGCTGCTGCTAAATGTTCAGTGTGGAAGTGGAAGGTGGTAGCTTTCACCAGAACTACTTCAAAGAGAAACAGAACAGGCTGGCAGGACAGAGAACTTTCTCCCTGTATTTTTCCTTCCATTTTGTACTGCTGGACTTGCATTTTGTGAAAAATGTACAAAATTCTCCAAGTTCCTTCCTCAAACTGGCTCTGCTAATTCAACCAGCACAACTTCCCTGGCACAGGGATACACCGAAGGACAGAAAATTGCACCCAAAATAAACTGTAGGTAAGACACAACTAAGTAAGGAACAGATTTTGCACATCGAATACTACCAGAGCTCTAACTGACATTCAAACTGAACCAAATTCATGCACCAGATGCTCAAATTTAAACTGTTGTGAATGGCCTTTAACACTTGCAGGCTCTTGAGTTAGAGAACCACCTTCCCATTTCCCTCTTGGGTACTTGCAAGGGATCTGAGGACAATAAATGCTGTAGATAATGCTGGAGACACCACCTACAACTTCACCCAGCTCTTCCCCCTGGCCAGGGAAATCCTATTTTAGTCAGCCATCTACGTCACTAACCTGGAACTAGAGCCTCTCTGTTCCTGCTAATGCGAATTGCAAAGAGCACAGTTACCCACATCCATTTTTACAGTGGCTCTACAGGATGCAGCATGCCCTGGCTGTGGAGGAGGCAAAGCCACTTGCATTTAAGGCGTAAGCCACACTGGTCTGGATTGAGAAATGGTAACTGGTGCAGCGTGGTCCACTGCTCTGATAACTAGTCAACAGCAAACACACTGCTGTCCACATCCACACATGTGGTTGCTCACTCTGACAACCACAAATGGCTGATTATTTCTTCCCCCACAGCTGTCTGCACCCATGTGTGGAGAGAGCTCACAGCAAGTGTCTCAGCTGTGTAACACCCTGCAGCAGCTGTGCAGAAGAATGCAAGAGGCACACCATGAGGGCTGTATGCACAAGGGTGTAACAAAGCTCTTGGGGTTATCAAGTGCTGCTTTGTCCCCTCATAAGCTCCAGGAACCTCAGGAGTTGGAGGTGTTTGAGTCAGTAGTATTGATGGCTGCAGCTCCCAACTGCCTGACAAACGTTCCTCCAAAAGCTGCCCTTGAGCCCACCCAAGTATTCAGATCAGCAACTTCTCTTTGTGCCTGGAACCCTTTACGTCCTCTGCACACACTCTTCCGCCTAACTGCAAACACTGTCACTACTACATGGCAGAAAGACATCATAAATCCTTTGGAAAAAGAAACCTGGAATTGGGAGTGTGGATACTTGGCTGGAGAAGCACAGGACAAGGAGAACACTCCACATGTAAGTGTGGAACTTGAGCTATATTCTTGCCTTCCTGACCATTTTTCCTGCTGTTTTCTCATGACAGACAAACTCTCTGCAAAGCTCATATCTTGATTGCTCAGTTTGAAACCCAAGCTATGCACCATTCTGCACACATGAGCAAGATCCTTTCAACTCCTACACACTGCTGTTGGTCTGTCCAAACAGGGCAGCTGAGGCACCCTCAGCAGGCAATAGCTGCTTGGGAAACTTCCTTCCTGCGAGTCATCACGAGGAGAGCAAGTAGAATGGAGAGGTGCATGGGAACAGGGTCACACTGCAGTGCAGTCACAAGGTCAGGAGGATCTTCATAACCCCAAGCAGTTTCTTTCCCTCTCTGCCTGCCCTTTCAGCTTGTGGCTGAAGGAAGAGAGCAGACAAGTGAATGATCTGCTCTCTGGCATACCAATGGCAATTCTGCCCTTGCTGCCAGCTAAACACATCTCTCCTTACTGCTTCCCAGAAGCAAACAGCTCAGCAGAAACAAGGTCACAGCTGTGTGCACTCTGCATGTGGCACCTAACCCAGAGCACAAATACTGCTTGGGAGAAGTGACACTGGCAGGGGGGAACTAATGCCAGAATGTGTTCTGGGATCTCGTAGCGAGACCTGCTGAAAGCATTTGCCGCAAAACCAAAGCAGGAAACTAATTAAACACTGAGATTTGCTGCACTTTCCGTTAGGCTGAAAACTAGGTGGGTTAGGGCCATTTTGTTACTGCCTGCAATACTGAGCACAGCACAGCGTTGGTCTCCCAGTGGAACCTTTGCCCATCCCAGCAATAAATAACAGTGGAAATAATGACTTGCTACAAATGGAAAAGTAGGCTACGATGCCAAGAGTAAATAAGCAGAATCTCTCAACCTTTCCAACATCTCCAAATGTGTTCAATCTGCCATCTACTGGCAGCTACTCCCCTTATCCTTCCACAGAGCCCAAGAGGGAAATCTGCAAAGCCCTGCATTTATCACATCAATAAACAACATGCAACCTCATTTCCAGATTTTTATTATGAGATAAAAGACTAGGGATTTGCTTCCTGAACGTCATGCACACAAACTAGATGCCTGCCTGGCACAATGTGGGCTCCTGAGACAAAAGTGAGGTAGCAGAGTAGGGCAGTAGCATTTAGTAACACACACACACACCATGTCTGCTCCAGATGCTGTGGAAAAACACTGCAGAAAACACCTCAGAGCTAACCAACACAGAAGGAAAGGCTCCATTGCTGCCCTCACCTCTGTATCATCACTGTAGATGTAGTAGAGGACCCGTATGAAGATGTCTTCTGAGATGTTGTGGAGAGTCACCACAGGGATGCTGGGCTGTGTCTGTAGCTCCTCACTCTCACTGAAATGGTCTTCAAGGAGGGCTTTGAAATAATCACTGCGACCACAGAAAAATGCCTGGAGAGGGAAGAAAAACCAAAACAATAGCATCTTGCTCACTGCACCAAACCAAAGGGCACTACCAACCAGCTGTCTGAGCAGCTCAAAGATATTTCAAAAGTTCTAACGCTCTAACTCTGATTCTCCCTCTATTTTGAAGCTACATCAACATTTTTCCATACCTTCTTTCCATCCATGCCTGCCCTCAGAACCAAAAACACAATCTGTAAACTTAAGAGATTCAGAAGTAGCACAGCATCAGGGCAGGAGCTTGAGTTGAGGTTGGATCTCAAAATCCATTCTTACTGCTGTTCACTTGCAGATCCAACATTCCCCTCTCCACACACTGAACTGACAACATAGCAGCAGGAGACTTTGCAGCTGTGAATGCTGCAGCCCAAGATATAAATTTATCTCCTCACCTCTGCAAGAAAGGCAAGGTTTGCTGCTCTGTTAAATGCTTTTAATGTAGTTTTCCAGCTGCAATAAGACTTTTGGTTTTCCAGATGATGAGGTAACACTTCTGCAGAGTGTATCCAGCACAGGAGGACTGGGGAACACAGGTAGACTAGACTCAGGGTGAAAAGGGAGAAGGAAGTATAGCACAAGCACATACCTTATGGCACAAGAAGTTGTAATCTTCCACCCGGAAACACACATCAGGACAACTGTTAAAGTTGTCAGTGCTGTCAAAGGGCAACTCCCCAAAACCAACCTAGGAAAAGAAACCAGAACACCCTACATTGAACATCTGTGCTTTAAACACAATCAGGGTCCCAAGTCTGGGTTTCTTGGTCTTCCCAGAAACTACCATCCATCTATTCCCTCAGCCCAGTGCAGAGCACCAGAGACACTCTGAACACAGGTTTCTGTATGAGGAACTGAAGAACTTGCACTCCTGATAGAGATATTCCTGGTACAAGTTACAGCTGTCTCTTTTATCCATGGAAATTTCCTGACCCTCCATACACCTCTGGAAAGCATTTCTGTGCCATCTAACACAGGAGATAACTAAGTGGAGGCAAAGTTTACTTCATGTAGTAGGTATCATAAGCATACTAGAGCTTAGGACTCACCTTTACTGTGAGGATGTAGGAACATATAGATTACATTGATGCAATACAGCAGTTTGAAATGGTTTGGCTACAATTACTGCCTCACTTGAATAATCCAACACTGCTAAAACACATTTCAGATTTCTGAATTGACTTGCAGCCAAAGATAGTGCTGTTGCAGTATTAATACTCTAGCAAATTATTTTAACACCAACACACCTCCACCCAGTCCCACATGCCAACAATGGCAGCACACACCAAAAAAAAAAATATCTGTTTGCCTTATGTTATTTTAAAGTGACATGTCCAAACATTTTCACTTGCACCTTATCTATATACAGGGTAATTCAGTTGTAAAAAGAAAACCAGTTTATATTCAGAGTCATGTAAAACTCTGGAACCAAACTTTCCCCTGGTTCTTGCCCCTAAGCTACCTTGGCCCAGGAGTTTATTCCTGAAAAAATCCAGGAAAATCCCAAGTTTGCATATGGGAAAACCCTGGGCTGACCACGAAGACTAGTCTCACAATTGCAAACTACCTATGTACCATTTCCAACCAGTCTGCCTCCATCCTGACTGAAAGCACTGACTTTCATCTTTACTGAGGAGCCAGATGACTCCTCCCTCCTGAGCTAAACAAAGAGACAGGCTGCAGCACACTGGGTTGGTGCTCTTCCAAGTTTGCATATGGGAAAACCCTGGGCTGACCACGAAGACTAGTCTCACAATTGCAAACTACCTATGTACCATTTCCAACCAGTCTGCCTCCATCCTGACTGAAAGCACTGACTTTCATCTTTACTGAGGAGCCAGATGACTCCTCCCTCCTGAGCTAAACAAAGAGACAGGCTGCAGCACACTGGGTTGGTGCTCTTGGCCAAGCTCAACTCACATGCAGGGAGGTTTCTCACAAAATAGGTTCTCAGATGTGACAAGGCACAGAGCTGGCAAAAGCTCACACCACCACTGAACCTGGGAATCCAGACCCATTTACCAAGCTCTTTGTCTGCCCACAGCAACACTTGGCAGCTTCTGATTCCTCATCACAGGAGATGCCCAGTGACATTCAAATCATGCACATGGCTGTCACAGTAATGCTGCCCCTCCACAGCACCACTCTCCTTTGAATCCTGCCCTACTGGGCAGCTCCCGTTCCAGAAGAGTCGCAACAATTCAAGGAATGCTGCCCACCTGATCTATCACCCGCTTTTCAACCGGCTGCAACACAAAGGGCACCTCCAGCACTGAAGATGAGATCAGAAAATGGCCCAACTGTAGATTCCCCAGGCTGCTATTTCACTCTTATCTGTGTCTCATGTTTCAAGGCTTTGGTCCTTGGGATCTGTAGCTGCACTCACTCTGTGGCAACACATTACAAACATCAGTATCATAATCCAACTGCCTGGTCTGCTTGCCTTGCTGCTACCCCTGCCCTATGCCCATAGCTTCCCTGTCCTCTCCTAGAAATTCTGACACGACTCTGAAGGCTACGTATTTGCAGGCAGATCACAGGTAAAACAAACCTAGAAACAGGCTTTGATAAGGTCCCACTCCGTGGCACAGAAATTTTAATTGAGACAAACTCCACACCTCCTATGTGCATCCTTTCTTTGCCCTCCTTTTGTTTTTCAAAGGTTTTTCCTCTGTAAGGAATCCATCCCACCGGAATGCACATGGGAGTTTTATTTGCCTCGGAGTTTGTCTCCTGAATTACAAACTCCTCCAAGTTCAATTTCCTGCTTCCAGCCTTGCCTGGTCCCCACTCTGATGCTCCAATTTACAAGGTCATTTCCAATTCCTGCTACAAAAGCAGGTTCATGTCTTTGTCTCTCCCATTCAGCATGAAGTGGCTTTGCAGAATTTTCCCTTTTACTCCCCTTTTAAATCTCTACTACTTCTACTCTCCTCCCTTGTCATGCTTGAAGAATTTAATCTCTCTTTCAGAATCTCCCTGCAGAAAATTGGCTTATTCCTCCCACCACCCCCATCCACACAACCTCCTTCACATGCCTCTGTCCAGGCAAGACACAGCTGCCAAAGTCAAGTGTGCTGTCCAGGAAGCACTAGGAACACAGTCTTGCCTCTGAGGTGCAAACATATTCACAGTAACTCATTCACCACATAGAAATATTCTATATTTCTATAGCATAAGACTTCTTGAACATTCACAGGATCTTCCAGCCATCACATGTGGAAAACTAAGTCTTTGCTGCTACAAATTTCCTATCAGAGCTTAAACAGAAATGCTGCTGGAGGCAAAAACATACAAAACAAATCATTGGCAATAATTTGCACCTTGGCCAGATTATCTCAGCAAGAAAACTGGAAATAAATTACAATACAAAATACAGGGGTTAGTGATCCAAGAGAAGATTAGTAGCTCATAACCAGATGCAACTGGACTGAATATAAAAAAAAATTAAATTGGAAGCATGTTGTAAAAAGTTCAGTTAAATGCCTCTGCCAGACAGGCAAATATAACTGCCATGGACAATCACAGTACAGAGGAGCAGAGTCAGACAAGATGGAACCCATATACTCAGGTCAAACTGTTCTTCCTGTGTATTACAACATTCAGTATTACCCCAGAAGTGACAAATAGTCACTTTTTTTGGAGTCACACCAAATGTCAATACGGATGAAAAGAACAGTATTCATTTCATGGCAAGCTCTGATGCTTTTAAGTCGGATTTCATCTTGGTTTGGAACATAAGATCTCAGTTAAAAGGCAATGAAAAACCAGCTACAAAGGAAATGATGTGCCTACAGTCTCATATACTGCAAACTCTGGGGTCTCTAATTCAGAGGTCACCTGGCAGACACAAGATGAAGAGCCAAGCAGGCAAGCAAGCAGTGGAAAGCCACATGGTTTTTGACAGTTGTCTGGCTTTTGATGGTATTTTACTTGTATCTGTCACTGCTAAATTTTATTGCAACAAGCCAAGGAAGCAGCTGTTGTGGTCAGAAAAATCCCGGCCAGTATCACTTTAAAACAAAACAGAGACAACAACCACACTTTTAAAAGCAAACACTGAAGAAAAAGGCTTTCAAGTATAAACAGGAAAGAGAAACAAGATACCAGAATTGTAAATGTGTTAAAGATTTAAAAAAATAGATAGTTCTCACTCAAAAAAATAATGAACTGCGATTGAATATCAAATGTTCATTATCATAGTATTACTGACTTATGAGATTTAGATGCACAGTTTCCTGTACCATAGAAATATCAAAGACATTACATGTAGATTATCTGTTTATATTGGAACAGAAAGCTGCATACACCCCCATTTCACATAATATGACATTACAGGTCATGCAGCAGCTTAGAATGTCTCTTGCCAAATACTGGAAATGCTGGCTTTTATCCAGAACCAAATACCTATTTTGTTCTGCATAGGCTGAAAAAAAAGAGCATGTTTCTCTTGAGGACATGGATGTTTTTATGTGACTATTCAGTTGTCCCCAACATAGTTTGTATACTATCCCTTGGATGGCCACAAACTCAGCAAGAATGAGGATGTGCAATTTCTGTCCCAGAACAAAGATGCCTATTTCACAGAATATAACAATTAGGATGAGCTGTAAATGACATCAGGATGGAGAGCATTGTTCATATATTCTTTGTAAGCTAACAAAAGAAAGAAGTACCTAGGGAGTAAAAATGAGCTTTTTTTAGAATTTATCAGGCTTGAACAAAGCACCCATGTTTGTGCTTCTCTAGTGAGCAGGCATGTGCCCATGCCCTCTTCACTTTTACAGCCATAACAAGTCTAATACCACCTTTGTTCTGGTCCATGAATACAGCAAGAAAACCACAGCTCAATTTGCAGTGCTGTCAGACAATGACATCATTCCAAGTTTCCTATTTTCCTTTCAGCTCCTATTCTACATGAAAGAATAAAAGGGAAGTGTTTCTAACCCTTGAGAAGAACATCTTAACCCAACAAGAGCATGCCATCAAGGTCTGAAAACAAGCAATCAAAGAGAAAGTATTCTTTTTATTTGTGAAGTGGCTTAAATTTTATGTAAGTCTCACTGTTTTGAGGTTCATGATCACTTTTAATTCCTGAGGAGGGAAATCTGAGGCTTACTTATAGTTATCACCTCTCTTTAGAGCCTGCAAACTACACAAAAGCATACTGAAAGCCACAAATAAATGTACAGTTGTTTGGAGGAGACAGGTTATGTAGGAAAGACTTCTGCATTGGTAGTTATTAACCTGATAGAAAAACCCTCCCTCTATAGAGAAGTATGTCTGACAAAAGCCAGCACAAAACATGTTGGCTTATTAGGGTAAGAAAGCTTATCCATGTACACACATTCTGCACAGGACAGGTGCATTTTGTAGGGGAAAGAAAGAAAACAGGCAACAAACTTTGCTACATCACTCACTCATACAGACTGTGCACACAGCAGCCACCTAAAATGAGTCCGTGTTATTAAATTCAGTGGTTGATATGAGAAAGAGGAAAGAGAAAGGATATAGAGAAAAGAAAGATATATCTGCTGATATTAAAGCAAACACCAGATGCAGAAAGAAAGAAGACCAATAGTATTTATCCTGTTCTCCTGCAGCTGGGAGAGATCCATATATATGATCCTAACTAATAATACTGATGGTATTTTAACACAGTGATCATCCACCTGGTAGGCTATCTCTGAGAGTAAAGACGTAGTGAGGAAAAACAGATCTATTGCCAGTCAAGTTAAATTCACTTCAGAGAGACTCACATTTCTACTGGAAGTATTTTCAGGGTTTGAAAGCATTTGACTACTGCAGAGTGTCAGTTCCTAGCAAGCAAGCTCAGCAAGCTGTCTTCCACCTATATGTCCTTTCAGGTATCAATGCCTACTGCTAAAACATCTCTGACTCTCAAGAAGGACGGCAGAGAGAAGAGCTGGGGGCCAACTCTTGTCCCGTTGTAGCCAATGAGGAAATCCCCACCAACCACATGGAAAGGGTTTTATTTACCAAGATCCCTGCTGGGGGGAGCGCAAAATCCAAGGGGAAGGACCAGCACCTCTCATTAAACAATGTTACAGCATTTACAAGCAATAAAAGCCTTTCAGCACTGGGAGCACGAGCAAACAAGCAAGCACTAAACTCTAAGTGGTAAGAGTGTGGCTGAACACATGAGCAGACATCCCCAGCCCCACAGAGAGCAGAACAAGTGTAAATGCTCCGTACCCGCAGTTCGGCTGGCAGGGCGCAGTCTGCCAGAAGAGCCAAATCTTCCTGCAGCCGGCAGTTACCTGTGGGCTCAATCGTCAGCACTTTCACACAGGTCCCTGGCTTGGAAGAGACTGCAAGAAGCAAAAAAAAGCAGAGATGCCTAAATTCCTCTACAAACATTCTCTTCCATTTAGATAAGACACACTAGGAAAACTAGTATTATTTGCTGCAAAACACACAGGATTCTTCTACGTGAACACACGTTCGGCAGCCCTCAGTACAGCTGGACAGCAAGGCTAGAATAGGCTCCACGCATTGCTGTCTCTCCTCTAACCTCCACTTTATTCCTTATGCTGGAGTATCAACTGTGAAAAACACAAAGTTGTCACAGGCATATTTCAAGCCCAACTCACTCTTTGTAATCCACGTCATCAACATCAACATCAGCTGCTCTGATCCCTGTAGGAGCCACTCATACACTGCCTTCCCCATCTGACCACCCCCTACCTAAGTGTCACCTAAGGTGAAACCCATCCCAAGGAGTTTTTAGTTAAAATTAGTCTGCCTCCATATCTCTGCTCTGTCATGTGCTCTCATGGTTCTCATTTCAGCTGTGCCATCCTAACTTCACTGCAGGGAACAAAGGGATTTATGCTTGTTTAGCTAGTAAGTTCTGTGTATGTTAAGTCTGTTCTCTATCTGAAGATCTCCAAAGCACAAAGACCCACAAAGCAACTGACTCCTGAGTGTGCCTGTGTTCTTTGCAAATGCTAAATAAGCATCACTACCACCAAAGAGCTCAAATAAGCCATTCAGAGATGGCAACTTCATTTGCCTTTTTCAGACCTAGTGTGTCTTCCTGTCTTGCCCTATCAGCCTACACAATAAAACAATCCAATAAAGCGAAACCAAAACACACATACTGTAGTGGTCTTGCTATCACCAAAGTTGCTATGAAACTCACAGAAGCCAACCGTAACTTCAAGCAAGCGGCAGCACAAAGCACACCCAGCTATTGTGTTATGATATTGCTGCCAGCACAGCCTTTCCTCTTTCTGGCCATCTCACTCCTGCAGCTCACCTCCTTAGGTTTGTTTCTAGCTCAGCATGGTTTGGGGTAAGGGCTGGAACACGTAAGACATTCAAGAGTCCCTGGCATATAGAGAAGCATGTGAAGAAACACAGAGCACCCCTGGAAAATGCAGAGTTGTGATGAGGAAGGCTTGAGATCCTGCTGGGAGCCAGAGAGATGCAGAGTTAGCGCCAAAGCATTCCAAAGAATTTCTGACAGGTATGATTCACTGCATTAAAACTTGCAGGTGAATCAGCCACCTTGAGACCTCATTTTTCCTGACATTTTGCAGAGCTTTACATGAGCTTCATCAGATGACTCCATTGGGTGGTGGGCGAAACAGGACTACGATGTGCCACAAAACAAGTTCTCCGCCCCTTCCTTCACATCACTGCTGCACCCTTCAGATACACCACCACTGTACCTCCGAATAGGCTGCATATCCCAGAAGGATTACTGGAAAGGGAAGGATAATCTACCAGTACAAAATAGTCAGGTACCATGATTGCTACACACAAAGCTCACCAGCAAGGAGACAGGCTGTCCTATTAGCACAAAACACTACCCTCAGATACATGACTTACAGGGTAAATAGGCCAAGAGAAGACCTGGCACCAACACAAACCAGACTGAGTGCATCTTCTCGAAGAGCTCTGTCCACTTACAGTCCAGCGTGAGAGAAGGAAATTTCTCACTGTGCAATTAGAAATTCTTTGTGACAGAGAGAATAATTTGTATTTCTGCAGTGCTTATTATAACAGTCACCAAATCAGTCAGGCTCTGTTAGTGCTAATAGACCCAGCAAGTTTTAAGCAGTAGTCAAGGCAAAGAGTTCTTCTCTTGGGATCCACAGAGCATCTGTGCACTTTCACAGTGACACAAAAGGACAGTGATTTGTCTGAGAAGCAAATCTATTCAGACACTGCATCTCTCAAATCCAGGAGCACAGCATTTGGTATCACACACAACTCTTCCCTAACAGAGACAACGAAAAGCAAAGTGGTGAAATAAGAATAAGCTGTTGGCTGCAAGCAAGCAGCAGGGACCATCACCTTGTGCAAGCAAGAGGAATGAAGGGGTTTCTGAAAAAAGCAACATAAACAATGCAAGGAGGTAGAGGGAATTACCCAATTATGGTTGAGAATGGAGGATTTTGTCTTTCTTCTCAGTCTAGCCTAGCTGTATTGCACCTACCAATTCATCAGCTGCCTTGGTTTTACTGCTCAATATTTCTTTGCAGTCTTCTGTTTAAACTGAACCAATGCACCACAAAACACAGAAGAGCCAAAAAACAACCCACCAAACTCCCAAACTCTTCTAAATGATGCCACACTCAGATTCATTCTCCTCCCAATGCCACAACTAGCTATAACCACGGATTCTGTACATCCAGTGTCTCTGCTATAAGGCAAGCATCAACGACCTTGCTCTCACCTTTTTTGCCCTAAAACTTACCAAAATAACTGCAGAACATTTATTTTCTAATACATACACTTCTAAATGAGGATTATGGCATAATCTGGACAAATTGTTTGAGCTCTTCCAAACACTGCAATAGTTTTTGCTTGCTAAAGCCACAACATACATGTGGGGGAAAACAGGCAAGCCTTCACACCCAAGCTTATCTCAGGTGCAACAGAAGGCACTGGGTCATCCCCTTCAGGGTTTTCCTGAACTACTGTCTGTGCATGCCAAGATACTAAGTGCCTTTGAAATGCTGATTAAGTCTAGATAATGAGATTGCAATTATCCAGTGGAGCTGCAGAGGCTTGAGTTCATGTTGTTTTCACTTCACAATACAGATGCAAAACATTACCCAGCTCTGCAGACCAGAAGCAGATGTCTACTCCACAGAAAGCACTTTGAACAGGCAGAGACTCCTAATGTACTTGAAGGAATAGCAATGCTTTGTCAAATGCCAGACATGACATGATCTAAGATCTTGCCCAGTTTTTAACTTCTAGAACTCCTATATATATTACTTTCTGCAGAATCAAGTTTTCCTGGCTTCCACATGAGATCTGATTAAGAAACAAACTTTCAACAGACCTATCAGCAGTTCTGCCTAGTACTTCCATCAGTGCTTTACACCAGCCATTGATTATGCCATCTGTCAGGCCTTAGAAATGAAGAACTGTTCCTATCCCAAAGAACACAGAAATTAAATGATCTGTCTGATTCCATCCAGGAACTTTGTATTACATTTCCAAGTGGAGCTTGTATCTGCAACTCTCAACTAACCTAAAACTTTACTTCATCATTTTCCATTTTAAACCCCACCAAGGAGTCAGCTTTTTTGCAGTTCACAAATTTAAGCACTTTATTTTCCTCCCACCATGTAATATGACATTTTAACTACACGAATTAAGGCAGAATGGTCACCTCCAGGGTCTCAGCTAGACCCTAGGAGAAAAAGCTAAAAAGGGAAAAAAACCTATCTCCAGCATCTCACCGGGTTACTCTAATAACAAAAGATGCCATGAGATAATTTTGTTACCTTATTGTCCGAATGGTTTTTATTTTATATGCATTCATCACTCACTTAATATAAACTGATATCTTACACATTTTGTGGCAAGAAACCAAGAAATGCAGTCCTCATCTCTTCAGATCCACGTATTTGTGTTTACATGGCAGAAGTAAGACATGATACAGCTGCCTGGTCTACATGGGAACAGCTGTACTGTGGTAACCTCCTACTCCCCCCTATCCCACCCCCAAACAACTGTACATGCCTAAGGGGAGACATACACATGGTAATATCTTCCATGTGATTTGCAGATGAGGAATTTCTTGAGCCAGAAGTATTCTCTCTCTTAAGCCCTGCAACTTCAGGAGGCTGAACAATCACAACTCATAATTCAAAAGGGAAAGGCAGAATAGTTATACCCTCACCACTTAGCTCAAGGAAGAAGATGATACTGACTTTAAAGCTACAGATGAGTTTCTTCTCAAACCAAAGTGAACTTGACTGAAGCAAAGGAGTTAACTCGGAGCACGGAATGAGAATCAGGTGTTTTCAGCCTGAAGGTTTTGTTACCCGATAACTTTTTTACTTCATGACTAACACCACTTTGCCCTACTTGTGCTGTTTTGATTCTTCTTCACGTGCCCTTTAGCTTGAGCTAAGGAAATGAATGATAAACTCTATATGTTGGTTTTCATGCAATAAACTTATGTCACGATTAGATCACAAGCTATTTGGATAACAAAAAGTCCTTAAATAGAGGATTGTGTCATTTAAGTTTTGGCACATCCGTGTGTTATATATACACACATGCTTTCATACAACACTTTTTTAAAAGCAGAGAAGTGTTTATCTCCCCTTTACACCCATTTTGGGCCAACTTTACGTTGGTTAAGGGTCAGATGAATGCAGAAAAGGACTTTTAACTGCACATATTTTATATCTCCAGGGGTTATAAACAAGCTCTTTGCTGAAAGACACTTCCCAATATACCCCACTGTGCTCCAGTGAATGCCAGGCAACCACAGCAAAGTCCTGCTGCCATGGCTGCTCTACTATAATGAAAATATCCAATATAAATTATAAACATGCATGTGTCAGAAACCACTACAGCTGCCCTACAGAGAGGCCATGACTGAAAACGATCATGCAAACATGGGAATTCCAAAACAGAATCATTTTCTGAAAGCCCCAAGGATACCATGAAACAATCACCATCACACTTTCCTGCTTCTCCCTGAAAGGGCACACAGGCACAGCAAAGACAACAGTAAGTAAAATGCTTACCAAATTCATAAACTTTTTTACATTTGGTCTCCAAATCATCTATGAGGTCCTGCAGCCGACACTGCTTGGCTAATCTCTTGCAGTCACTTACATATTCTACATCGATATCAAGACGACCTGTCAAGAAGAAATGCAGTCAGATCTTTGAACCCATAGGACTTAGGTGTAAAAATGGCAAAAATTAAGGATTGAGGACTCAATGGCACAGAAATTCAGTAATTAGATATACTGCCTCATTTTCCAGCATCTAGTAACAACTCAGTCCTGGCAGCTAAGGCTTGGTACCCCAACACTCACCACTTACATCGATCAGTTTGGCATTTAATTCACATTCTCTCTTTCCAGGGTCTACCCTAATAGCTTCATTCAAGAGTCCAAAGACCAAACAGGCTATTGAAAACATGGCTAATTCCCTCAGAAAAATAAAAAATAGCAGCCCAACAGCAGCAGGCATGACTGCCACCGCTGGCTAGCCGGCTTTGGGTAAGAAAAGGCTTTAGGCTCCTAAGTTGTCATCCCAGAAACTTTTACAATCACTGAAAACAAGGCAAGGAACATTTTTGAACACATTGGACTGGAGAGGGGAAGCCTTGAAGACAAGTTATTTTCTGGCACCACCTTCTGGCCTGAGATAGTTCAGCACTTCGCATGCTTACAATACAACACTGGGCATTTTCAGAGAAGGTTTAGGATCAACTTCTGTTCAGAAAAAATACTAGAAAGTAGTCAAAGCACTAAGCATACATTGCTCAAGTTTGCCAGACTGAAAAGGTCCTATGTGGGAACTTGGCTTTTCACCACCTCAGGGGACTGTTATATCAGACGACAGATTTACCTTCCTTAAATTAAAAATACATTCTCCAAATCCACCCAACCAGTCAACCTAAGCTGATTTTGGTTTCCATTGACTGCACAGTTACTGGCAGGACAAAGAACAGACAAAAGGTACAAATAACTTGGAAGGGCTGGGGATTGCTCACATTCTTCCCTTCTGCCAGCAGAGAGAATGTGTTGCCAACTCATGCACCCAAACATGGCTAAGTGCAAGCCTGTGCCACTCAAACAGTGGCACAGCTTCCCACCAGCCAAACACACATACACTAGACAACAAGTCATTTACCTGTGTATAGATACTGCAGAAGAGCACCAAAGGCTGCTGGATTAATCTAAAATCAAACATGACAAAGTTACCTTTAGAATTCTCAGGAACTTAACAAGCTGGAAACATGGTCCTGAACAAGTCAAAAAACCCCCATTGAAATAACAACCCACACTCCACACCCAGTTTCTTTGCTCCTCACATAACTACTGCTGTCCACCTAGCTTACTCAGCCCTTTACTGTATCAACTGACACTAATCCCCCAAGTGCCTCAGGGGACAGGACCTGAGTAATAAAGGTGCTCCAAAGACCTGGTTGTAATATAGGCTCTGTAAAACACAGGTTTTCACTGGTCACAAACGTTTCCACCACTTCATAATTTGAGAGGAAAGATGTGTTCTTGTACAAAGAGAAAGGAAAGCAATGTCCTGAGAAACTGGAAGTATGTTTGCCATGAGAGGCTTTGCACAGCCACAGTCAAGTTACAGAAACGTGTGCCAGAGTATTGGTGATTAATGGGTGGAATGCACTTACGGCCTATTTAGTTCTTGCTGCAAAGGCAACAAAAGAGATTCAATTAGTGCCAATTATGGAGGTGATGTCTTCACCACAGACCACCTGTCCACCAGGAATTAGACAGACTCAACTCATGCCACAGAGGGGTCGTGACGCAGCTGTCAGATGGTAACAGCTACCTACTACAGCAATTCATTAGGATATGTTTGAGCCCATGACAGAGGGAACAAAGGGAGAGTATGTACTCTGCAGCCTTTTGTTATCTGAATAAGATGCTATTTTACTACATAAAGTGCCTCCACAAGCCCTTCTCCTTGACTAGAGTCTTTCTGAGCTCCAGGAGCTATTGACTGTGTGAGTTAACCCTCAAACTGTCCTTCCTACTCACTTTTCTCACCCAGCTGGAACAGGAAAAGAGAGGAAAGAACTCAAAGCACAGCCTTGCTCACCAGTGGATGCTTCAACACAATCATGTTTTTCCCCTTCCATTTGGTCTCAAACACCTCCGCAAAGTAGGCGCTGCGAGCGCTGAGAATACAACGATGGGCACAGAAGGATTTGCCATGAACAATGAAAACAATGTCACTTTGGTAACCCTGCTCCAGCAACCTGTGAGGAACAGAGAGTGGGGAAATTCATCGCAGGAGAAAGGAAAGAATGGAGTGAAGCTAGTGGGGAACATGGTACAATTAGGCCTAAATGAACGAGTACCTCCAGGCACTGCAGCTGTCCCTGCCCAGAGAAGGCCAGCACAAGGGCTGCCACACACTAGACTGATCTCTCACTCCCTTTGGTAACTCCAAGAAGTTTCATTAATGCAAGAGGGAGGCTGGAGAACAAAACCTTCCTGCCTTAGGTGAACACCCGAATGCCGGGAGCAGACTTTAAAGCGGAACTAGTTGCCCCCAAACACATCTCCAATAGGTAATCCTGCTTTTAAATTGTCAGATGACAAAAAAAGTCTTTCAGAAGGCCCCATTACAAAGTAAGGTGCAACTTTCCTGCTCTCTGGGCACTGTCAGTGTGCATGCTTTAACCATGCAGCAAATAGAAGAGGACTTGGTGTCATCCACTCTCAGAAGAAGGAAGGATGTGACAGACATGCAATGCAGGCAATTACCACATCAGAGGTGAAGCCTTGTTTACGACTGCATGCCCAGACTCTCATTCTTTAAAAGGAAAAAACGAAGATTGCTACTTCCAGAGTTTACAGCAACCACCAGTGCTTTCTAATGATCATCACCCTTTGCATATAAATGCTTGCAAACATCCCCAAGAGGTCAAATCAGAGGGACATCAGGCATCGTACTCCTTCTAGAAAGCAGGACTGGTGCACAGAAAGGTGTGGGATCACACATAGAGGTGATGTCAGAGCAATGTCTTGAATGCTGATCTCAATCTCCTGCCACTAGAACATCCTTCCTACTAGTGTCTTGCCCAAAACCAAACAGAGGCATTAGGTGTTTATGTTTTGCCCCCCTACTGTTACCCTTTGTTTCAATTTTAACAGAAGGTCTGCTTGGAACAAGAGAACTTGAAACTGCTTTCATGTGTGAGCATGTCTGAGCCACAAAGTCACTAGGGCAGTGGTAAATCACCCTGCAAAATTCTATGCCCTGAAAGGCAGAATCTGATTATACTCAATTAAAAGTTTTCTTCCTCCCCTTCTTCCCCACAGCTTCAGAAATTAGGGCTCCGTAGTATTGGGAAGATTGTCAAACCTTTCTAGCACTTACTAGCTCTCCAATTTTGAAGATACAATTGTTGAAATCTTGTTGTGTGAGGTTTTTTAAAGTCAGTTCAATGGGAAATAAAAAGAAAAAAAAATCCAAGTCTGTGTAATAACATCAGAACTATCAAAGTAGAGAAACAGCAAGATTGACACTATTCCTCTACTCCTTAGCAAGTCAGGCTTCTTCTCAAGCTCTAGGCAAAGACTACAATGTGTAACAGGCAATTTTCAGGAGTATCTTAAAATTAACAAATTTTAATGAACAAAAAGAAATAACTGAGCCCTGTCACTGTGAGTCAGTTTGAGGCTTCTTAAACTGGTCTATTTCACAAATGAGAAACCTATTATCAGTGTTGAAAACCTCAGCATGGAGGCTATAGCACCTTCAGGCCTGAAACTTAATTTCAGTTGACATATTATCCTTAACAGCTGATGGGGTTTTAGTGATCTGCTTTAGGCTTGACAGCCAAGGATGACAGCTTAATGCTTCTGCATTATAAAGACCAGCTTTCTGTTGGCTCCGGAGTCTGCATGCACAAATACCTGGAAATCATCTCTTAGGGCACAAAAGAACATCCCTTAGGAAACTCCGTGTACCCAGGAACGAGACAGGGCACTGATCAGTTGCCGCTTAAAGCTGCCCTTAACAGAGAGCTCGAATATCCAGGTTAACAGGCAGGGAAGGATGCCAGAATGCTCTGCACATGCCTCATCTACTTACCGCTGCAGGAAGACATCATAGTAGTCTCTCTTCATGCACTTTGCTGTGATCTGTTTGTACTCCTTCAGCAGACGTCGGATGGCATCACTCAAAGCTCCATACAGACAACGTTCCCCATCAAAAGTGTTTGCCTCACATTTTGCTCCTGCAAAACGACCACAGGTATGTCCCAGTAGGCAAAGTTAAATCCTTCCCAAGTGTCTCCAGATGGCTGCTAAATGAGTATGACTTCTGGCTGGTGCATGTTTCAGTGTGATTCTCTATGCTGCTGAGCATATTTACAAAAACTAATCTCCTTTCACCTGTGTACAACTCAACACTGTTCTCCCACAGCCAAATTCTCGTTTAAACTGGCCCTGGTAATAAGCCTCAGCACAGATCCAGCAGTGTCCTGGGAAGATGAACCTCACTGTTCAGAGTGTGATCGCTTATTGGACTATTAACAGCTTCTCCTAATAAGCATTTCTGCTTTGCGTAAGACAAGAGATGCCTCTAAGTTAGACTCTGCTAGAGACTTGGAGGGCATCTGCATTTTGTTATTTTAAGATTACACAACTAACTTTTGAGATCTGTCTCTGCAATCTGGTTGCTCTACCAGACCACCACCACTGCCTAAGGGATTTTGGGTGCTGGGAACCAAATGGGCAGGCACTTGGCCTGGAGAAGTTGTCTTGCTTTGTCTGAGATGAGCAACAGCCCTTGCATTTCACCTGCAAGTCCTGTTTATAAAGCCAGGCCATCAGAAGAGTACAAGAAAGTTTTACAAAGACAACTAATTCTTCATATAAAGTGTAATTCTTACATCAGCATACTCCCAACAACAATGCACCCTCACAATGCTGTGATTTCAGAAAGTTGTGCTGCCTTGAGCCATCACAGAAAACTTCCCTTTCTGTGCATGTTCAAGATTTCAAGCAAATCAAGAAATTCCAAGCAATTTCAAGAACCAAGTTCAGGCAGCAAATGGCCTGCAAAAGGGACCACAAAAGTGTGTCTAGGGCTCCCACTGTATCCTGAGATAGCTGATCAGATGGTTGGTTGTAACAGAAGTTTCCACAAAGGACACGTAGAAGGATATCCAATCCCAATGGACCAGTATGGAGAAAGATAATGCATCCATAATCAGGGCACTTTTGCTCACCATTGGCCAGAAGATAGCGTACAAGCTCCTCATGTCCACAGAGGCAAGCATAATACCTGACAACAACAAGAGAAAGAAAATGAGATGCAGTAGGAAGCAAAATTCAGTGTTCAGGCACAGCACTGCATGCAGACTGCAGCACTGAGCATCCCTGGGAAGCTTAGAAGATGACTCCTCATAGGAGTGAGGAAGTGCTACCAAATAGCACAGAAGGCTGATGCCAGCAACAGACTAAGCAGGATCTGTTCCCAGCACTCCTAGGCACTGCAAGGAGATCTCAAGGTCCCAGTCTGGGTTCAGTATTTTCTGTTGCACCACCAGCTGCCAAATCTATCCTCATTTTAATGGAGATCATTTCATGGGCGCTCAGCAATTCCACTGAATTCTCAAAAACACTCCTTGCTTCCTTCTGTTGTCAGTCTGACTGCTGCAGGCTATGATAAGGACATAACAGCACCTGCACTGCACGTACAGCAAATCCACCCGTTTAAGTCCTACTTACAATAAGTTTTGCTTTCTCTTTCAGTTTAAGCCTTTCATGATTCTCTTTCAAAAGAGCCTCAAACTGTCCTACATGCTAGAAGAATCCTGTAACGTGTATTGCAGCAGCAAAATGTTAGTCTACCTTTGCTTTGGGAAGTTATCTGAATTCTAAATATATTAGAGATATCTAAATGCACCTTGGACTTGGTATGTGGGGAGGTAAAACTCTCACTCCCTGCTCCTCAGCACCTGCGTGGGGATTCCTCATTACCTACTGCATGTTCTCAGCATTGCCAGACAGACTGTGCTCCCACACTCACTTTGCATTTCACCAAGCCAAACCTTCACCTGAAAAGAAATGCTAGAATGCCACAGACTTTGATGGGGAAATAGCCTAATATAGCGAGGAAGAGAGTGCTTAATCCAGGTAATTTGGCCACAAAACAAACCACACTTCTGAGTATCACTACAGAAAGTGTCAGTCAGATGGGGAGACAAAGACATATTTAGCACAGCACCCACAGAGAAGCAGAACTATGTAGCAAAAACTCTCTAAAAGCAGAACCTGGGACATTTTGTAACAGATGCAGAGAGAGCAAAGGAGCCCTGAAAGCCCTCCCCCCAGCCCAGCCAGCACTCCAGGCTGCAGCACTCACAGGGGTGTACTGTCCCATTTATCACGGACATTAATTTCCACATCTCGCTGCTCAAGAAGGTATCTGGAAGAAAAGGGAGAGCAAAGTTATAACTTCATGCAGCTGCTCACTCAGTCACATTCTCCTCTTTCAAAAGATGTAACTTTGAGTTCATACAGTAACTTCCAAAGGTATGCCAGGATCCTGCATTGGATTTGGGGAGCTTTCAGCTGTGGCTGAAAGGGCAGCAGTCAAATCTTCAACCCAAAGAACATGTTCTGCAGCATGGCCTGGCAGCTCCCTTCAATCGTAAGTGGTGCACATAGGAAGAGTGGAATTGCAACCATCTCCAGCTGACCCCCAACAGGGCAGAGATCACAAGAGAAGCCTGAGCAGTTCAGCAGTACCTTCACATTCCCCCACAATGCTCACAGCCTGGACCCTTGCAAATAGGTGGCCAATTTTACAAGGCAAGACTGGACTCCAATCTTGCTTGTGGCTTTTCCTGCCACTCCAGACTGCTCTTCATTCCTGACACTTCCTTGTCCTGCACACTTAGGCTAGATCAAATGCTCACAACACTCCATCTCAGGCATTTCTAGAAGCCAGCCTTGGCCTTGCAGACAAATCTCCTACACAGCCTGGCTCTTGTTACTGCCTATCCATAACTACTGCAACAATCACCTCTGCTAAAGACACAGAAAAGTCTCTCTCATCCTTCACAAAGATTCTCAAGTTTTAGTTTTAATTGCCCACCACATCAGTCCTCCCTTTCACTCTCTTCATCTTTCCTGTCTCAACCTTCAGGTTCCTCTGACCACATTAAAAATCCCAAGCAACTTGGCTTCTTTCTACTCAGTCCCATGTGGCCAATTAGTCCTCCTGCTTTGACAGCATTCCCAGGCCAATCATTTCTCCATTATCACTTCTATACTGGTCATCTTAAACCTCTGCAAGGCCACCCCAAGGCCCCTCCTGCAGTAAACCTGCAACTTACTGCTTGCAATGATTTAATCTAACATGATTACAACGGATAACAATGTTCCCCAGACCTCATCTATCTGCCCACTTATCCCTCATTAGAGAGCACCTTAAAACAGAGGCTCCTGATTATCTGGAAAGCTCCACAGGTTGGGAGCTGGAAGAATCAAGTAGGATAAAAAGGTGAAGAACAGTTTTAGATTCAAATCACAACATACAGGAGAAGAGTCTGCTGTAAACCCTGAGCCTTTTGCACTACAACATCCATTCACCCTGCAGACAAGCCCATCTGTCTCCGGATTCTATCTCTCTGCAGCTAAGCTGTGCTGCTTCGTTCCTGATTCTAACTCTCTGCAGCTAAGCTGTGCTGCTTCGACATGAGCAAGGAGACTTGACTTGACCTGAAATTTAGCATCCCAGTATTTCTCCAAGAAAATCCCACAGCCTAAACACTTCCACGAAGGTAGCTTCCCAGTGATCTAGCTTCCTACCAACCCAAACACCACCTCCAAGAGCAGAGAAAGAGCAGCAAAAGAGAGGAGACTCATACAAGGACATGTCACCGGCA